GGGCCCTGAGGGAAGCAAAGGCAGAGGCCGTTCACCGCCTGCGGCTGGAGAAAGAGGAGCTGGTGTCCAAGTACAAGGCGGAGAAGGAGGAGCTGGCGGAGGCGATGCTGAGCCTGCAGCAGGAACGGCACGAGAGCCTCCTTCTGCTGGAGAAAGACAAGCAGCAGGTGAGTGGGGCAGCGCTGCCAGCCAGCCCTGCCCACCGCACAGCCAACCGGGTGCTGCGAGAGCCCTGTGGCCTGCGCCCGCTCGGGTCCTGGAGTCCACGTGTTGGGGAGAGCAGTGCAACACACCCGCAGCCACCTCCGCTCTTGCCAGAGGTCCCTATGGAGAGGAGCCGTGCATGGCTCGACCGTGGGGCAGGGAGTCAGGCCAGGATGCTAGCTCCTACCTGCTACTGCATCAGCATGTGGCATCTGGCCAACGGCTCCTCCTGTCATGGCTTTCAGGCTCTGTCCCAGAAAGAAGCAGAGAAGAGCTTCGTTTTGGAGAAGCTGGGCGAAGCCCAGAGGGAGCTTGCGAATGCCAGGATGGAGATGGATCGGCTGAAGCGGGAGGCTCTGACCCGCCAGGAGCAGGACAAGGTGAGCCCAAATTCTTTTTCACATTCCCAAAGTGGCTCAGGACCCTTCAGGAGAGGCTTAAGGACCTACCTTTCTTAGACAGAAGCTTGCAGTGGGGGGAACTGGCAAGGTCAAAACTAATAGCCCTCTGTGAACCCACATGGCACCATCTCCTGCAGAAAGATGGCTGGAACTGGGGTTGCGAGTAGGGGCCGGGATAGAGACGCAGAAAAGAAGGAGGCGTGCTTGCGCTGCAGCATGTGCTGTAATCCGCTTGTAAACCCACTGGGAGCTCTCGCAAACGCTGGGCGGTTTGGCTTGTTTTTCCAATTTGAAATGCGTGCCTGAAAGCAGCAGGGATATGGTGGGGGGTCAGCACTCAAGAGAGTGGTTCAAAGGGGGATGGGCACAGGAAGAACACCCCCCCGACACAAAACAAACAGTCCGTGGAGGGTAAGGAACTCCAGCCAGAACGAGTTTGCAAAGTGTTGACATCAAAGATTGTTTGGGAACCAAATGCAACGACATAAAAAAAAAAAAAAACCCGCCTTCCCGACGTTCCTGTAACAGCCCTCCCCACCTCCAACCTTTCGCCAAACTCGCCACAGACTGCAAATAGTACGGCAGCAAGCAGGGAGGTTTCAGACCCTGGCTTTCCTCTGTGCAGCCCTGCTTTTCTGACCATCCTTGACAAAACCATCCCTTCCAGGGGAGGTGATGCTGCGGGCACGAGCACTCCACAAAGCATCTGCCTTGCTGTTTGCCTTTGCTGCCGCACACCCTCGCACTGTAGGGCTTGGCATACCTCCAACTGCCAGCAGCCGGCCTCTCAGGGACGAGGAGACAGGCTAGGGAGCGGGAGAATAAAAGCCTATGCATCCACCTCCTCCCTTGGAGGCAATGTTAGGCTGGCAGGAGGGCCCTTCTCTCGGCTTGGACTTCGCCATGGCTCCTCAGCTGGAGACGAGGAAGCAGGTGACAAGGGCTGGGAGATTCCACCTGGCTCCGCACCGAGGCATGCAGCCCCTCTCGCACACTCTAGCCAGGACACATCTTTCTGATAATCCAGCCAGACCTTGTCCTCCCTTGGCCTGGAGCAAAGATGGCCGAAACCAGAGCTGGAGGCATTATTCTGCGTGAGCTTAGTTCTAATTCTCCAGCACATGTCCAGGACTTGAAAGGCTGGCTTGGCCTCAGCATGACTGCTCCTCAGCCCTGTGCTTGAGGCTGAGACATGGGTTTCCCTTGTCACTGCGCTATGGGCACCTCTTTGTGGATGCAAGCAGCTCTGCTGAAGAGAGAGCAGGCTACGACACGTGAGAGCCACACCAGCATCTTTGGAGAGAGCGAACTTTGTCACGGCAGTCTGGAAGCATCGCTCCAGCACTTCACTCCTGTGCTGCGTGCATAGGCTCGGGCAGAACATGCACGGAGACGCTTGTGTCACCAGGGAATGACCTCGGCCTCATGGCAGGGTGGACAGCCATGGGGACAGAAGCATGCTGAGCAAGAACATCTTTTTCCCCAGCTACCGATGGAGAGGGCAGCCCAGCAGCAAACCCGAGGAGATCTTAATCCGACTGCTCTGAGCTCGCTGCTATGAGCCAAAGGAAATGATTTTACCAGCCCTTGGTGTGCCTGTTCCCCATCCGCTCAACCTAGGTCATGGCTGTGGGGCCGTGCCTCAGGAAGACCATAGGAAGCTGGATCCAGTGTAGAGGAAGCAGCAAAACATTCGAGGGAGGAACCTGGCCTTGGGGGAAGGCTCACGGGATGGAAACCTTGGCCGGAGCCATGCCAGGTCTGCAGGGCGAGAGTATGCGGCCAAGCACAGTGAAGGGAAGGGTGTTTAGGGAAGAGCAGGGAAGGGTAACCAAGCAATAGGCTCAAACTTAGCATAGAAACTTTTTAGGCTAGACATCAGGAAAAATTTCCTAACAATAAGGTCAATTAGACCATGGAATAATCTTCTCAGGGAAGTGCTGGAATCCCCATTGCTGGAGACATTCGTTCTTGGTCTAGACAACTCACCCGGGACGTTCTGTAGGGAACGGCTCGGCGCTGGCAGAGGGGCTGGGCTGGATGAGGTAATAGGTCGTTTTCCATCTCTGCGTTTTATGGTTCTACGAATTTTAGCTCTGTAAGAAACAGGAGAGAGCAAAAAAAAAAAAAAAAAAAGAGAGAGCGAGGGAGGAAAAAACCCAGCGACAACTCAGGCACGAGAGAGTGGCTCCAACAGCCTTCGGCATGGCAGAAAGAAGACCTGGCGTTTGCCTGCCCGACGGCCCGCAGGGTGCACCGAGCCTGAACGGCCCCCACGGCAGGAGTCAGCCAGGCTTCTCCGCAACTCAGGCACGAGAGAGTGGCTCCAACAGCCTTCGGCATGGCAGAAAGAAGACCTGGCGTTTGCCTGCCCGACGGCCCGCAGGGTGCACCGAGCCTGAACGGCCCCCACGGCAGGAGTCAGCCAGGCTTCTCCTCC